ACTCTTTGTTATATTGCAGCCATTTGCTAAAACCATTTAAGTTAATTTTTTTCCCTCATTAAAAAAATTAACTTAAATGATTTTAGCAAATGACTGCAATATAACAAAGAGTGAAAAATTTAAGGGGGTCTAAATACTTTCCGTACCCACTGTATATTGAATTCCTTATTTCTGTGGCTGTGTGCCATGAGGACATTATATAATAGGTATGAATTTCCAGTGTGAGCAAGTGAACAAAAGTACAAAAAACATCAGTCATTCATCAAATCCCTTGGGGATAGACAACCAGGTGACTCTAAAATTGTCCTGTATATGTAAAAGCATACAGGAATGGAAATGGATACTGGCTGTGTATGATCAGGTAACTGAAGTCAATCGTATTCTCTAAAATGGCTTTCACATTGGGTAGTTATAGAAACTAAAAAAATAGCCACCAGGGTGGTCCCGCGAGGACTAAATTTTAGGAACTCTAAAGTGACTGAGCCAGCCGACAGCTATTTCATTTAAGCAAGTCATTTGGCATCACCAACAACTGGAGGATGGCGAAGTGCCTGGACTTCAGCATCGGTCCATCTATCACTGTTTCCTATGCTCGAGGAGTTAGTTTATGGAGTAAGTACAGTATATGTAAACTGTGTATTTACACTACTTTTTAAAAATGGCGGGTGCCCGTTTTCTTATGGTCAATCAATGTACACTAGTAGATATTGTGCTAGGTTAGACCCTAATCTGAAAAGTAGAAGCTAATTTATTCCCCCAAAAGGTGTTCCTATAATTTAACCCGTTCCCAGTTTCTGCAGTGTGAACACACCAAAAAGCAGGTACTTCCGCCAATAGTTATAGCAAGCAACTATGACAACGCTCCACCTGAACTCACAGCAGTCTTGAGCAGCGCTTGTAACCATAGTGACTGATAATGATAGTAGGCTAAATTTCAGGACTTGAATTGCATCTTTAAGGATGTGCTTTAGAAACGGTTTAGCATTACTGACAACATTACAGTTGCTTCCATCCTCTCAGACATTAGGCCAAAACCTTCTTTTTAACAGGTGATTGCCTTGCTCTCCGACCACACAATCATAGAAGAGTTTACATAACATGTAATAACAATTACATGTTTTGGTCATCATCTTCTCATATCAGCCTAAAAATTACATTAGATAATTTTTGGTAGGCACTTTAGTATATGCTCCAAACTATTATTATTATTTTTTTTACTTCTACTAACCTTTTTTCCCCATACTTTACACTCTTTGCTAAACAAAGGTTCCAAAAGGGTTTTTTTTCTAAGCGATGCCATAGAAGAGGAACTTTCAGTGAACAGTTCAGAAAAGAACTATTTTTTTCTTAATGTGAAGAACATTTGAATAAGCTGAAGAAAAAAAGTTCTTCATCATACCATATATGGAAAACAAAGAACATTTATTTTTAGGAGTGTATGGCCATTTCTGATACAGCAGGTCATAAAATTGATTGATGACAGCATGGATGCACATTTGCATCTGCAAAAACATGAGAAAAACACAACACCAGAGCAAATGGCATAAGCATTAGAACTAAATATCAAAGTCTTTCCTCTTTTACAATAAACACCACTTCATTGGGAGTGACTCCTAACAGGCTTACATTAACCACAGGAGTTTCTCTCTTTCTCATCTGATGCTCTGTTTTCTTTCTGTCTACCAGAGCACAGAGCAAGTTGAGCGTTGGACAGGAAGATGGTAGTCAAGGTCGGTTAGCAGATCGTGAGAAACCCCAAAAACAGATCATGTGTAAACCCCAGTAACAGACACAAACACTGGAAGAGGAAGACACCAGCAAAGATGCACAGAGAGAGCACAAACAGAAAGTGAAAGCGCATAAAACAGCGTGTTAAATATAGATTTAGAGGAAACTAAAAAGTAGAACACACTCTAGCAGTGGTCAATGGTAAAGATTCAGTTTAGCTGTTTTAGTGCTCAGAGATTTTAAGCGATTACAGTCTAGTCGATGTCTTTCAAATAAATTTCACATACAACACAGAGTAATGTAAAGCTGTTCTAAAACTGCACAAATCGATGACAGTACTAGTTTCTGAATGAACAAGAATTGAGGAAACTGCTCTATCACTCGCTAAATTTCCCTTACTTTCATTTCCTCAATCTCTCTGACTTTTGATTCATTAAATGGGTCATGACATGTTTTTTAAAATTATTTTATTATGTTCCCTGATGTGTAATTATAATATTACTAAAGTTTTTTAGATGAAAAACATTCGAAATTGAATGATTTATGACCTTTTTCCACCCTGTTTCTCATCCTCTGACTGAAACAGTCGGTTTTAGGGTGTTTTCCCTTTAAGAGGTCAGTGTAACTGCCCACTTTTATGATTAGCTAATATCCATTACCATCATTACAGTTTTAAATTTTTTTTTACATGAAATGCGTTACTTACAGTTTGCGGCATCATTGTTGAGTCCAGAACAGTTGGCATGGCCTGATCTTTGAGCAAAAATATTTTGGTAAAGCCAGCATCATACTGCAATTTGTTCTCAAAAGAGTCAACGGTGAAATGTACTGAACATACACACATAAAATAGCACCGACGTGACTGGGACATTTGCTAAAAATAAACAATCCATTTTTCTCTGATGTCGGGATCCTTCGGCAGCGTATACAAACATGTTGTTTTTCCACAGCCAGGAATGGCACATCGTCTGTCTGGCATCGCAATCTTATTGTAAACAACTACTCCTTCAGACCCACTCGCTGCACGACTGAACACCTGTGAGCGTGACAATGATGTGATGATGCAAAAATAGGTGTAGTTGTCTTGCTCTGGAGGCGGTCATACGCAAACAACTGTGCCCAGGTGACGTCACCTTGTCCCTCTGATCCAAAACGAGCCGTTTTCTGAGGGTTATTACATAAATGCTTTTTTTATTGATGATGAGGACATTTTAAGTTATGAAACATGCAGGATGTATTAAGCATACAAAGACCACTTCTATGTCAAAAGATCAATGGAAATTTGGTTTCTCATGTCATGACCCTTTTAAGTGTTTGAACGACACAACAAGTTGTCCATGAACATGCATATGCAACATGCACACCTCATGGCCAAAAGGATGTGGACACAAACATCTACATAATGGGTTTGGCAAGGCCCAGTGAATCTTAATGCTACAGGATACAACGAACAGTTTGTGGATGGTCTTTGTCTGTTCTTCACAACAATGTTGTGTGCACAAAGCAAGGTCTATAAAGAAATTATTTAGTGAGTTTGATGTGAAGAACTTGATTGGCATGGCATCCATAATGCACTCCAAATAAACACCTTTGGGATGGATTGGAACACTGACTGCAAGCCAGATCCCATTATCATTGTTTCATTGGTTTCATTAACAATTTATTTAGGGCTAGTATTTTTAATTAATAAATATTGCAAAAGGTGTGCCATAACTCATTATTAAACAACAATACTAAACTAGACTTAATGTGGTAACACTACACTATTCTTCCAAAGTTTGGTGTCCGTAAGATTCTTTTAAAGAAAGTAATACTTTATTCACTAAGGATGCAATAAATTCATCAATAACGATGAAAATGATTGTTTCCACAAAAAAATATTAAGTAGCACAACTGTTTTCACCACTGATAATAATGAAACATGTTTCTTGAGCACTAAATCGTCATATCAGAATGATTTCTGAAGGATGACACTGTGAAGACTGAAGTAATGCTGCTAAAAATGTAGCTTTGCCATCACAGAAATAAAATTCATTTTTAAAATATAATAAAATAGAAAACAGTTATTTTAAAATGTAATAAATTATTATTATTATTATTTAAATACAGCCTTAGTGAGCATAAGAGACTTCTTTCAAATACATAAAAAAATCCTACTAATTCCAATCGTTTGAGCAGTAGTTTATTTCATTCATTACTGAAATACTACTTACAAACCATGTAATGTAAAATTTTTAGCTAGACATTGTCAAATGAACAGACAATCATTAATTACACTGATTTAAACTGTACATTTTTCAATAAAATGAACCAGCTCATAAGAGTCTTTGAAGCATCATTTGATTCTGGCATTTGTAAACAAATCACACATGACACAAGACAATAAATAAGCACACAGGCTTTGCAACAACACCCATCCCATAAACATCTGGAATACAGAATCAAGGTACAGATCAAGACTAACTGGCCCTGTAATCTAAAGTCACGCCTTCTTGCTCATTTGGTAACAGTGTCACCTGTAGGCTTATATAAAGCAGACCAAATGAACACGTAAATATGAGGCTTTCATAGCAAAAGCTGCAAGGAAACATATGGCTGACTTAATGAACTTCAGTATAATCAATAAGACAAGCTTGACCTTCTTTATGCATCGCAACATAAGTACATGACCACTGATGTTGGTTAAATAATGCTAACCCTAATGCTACAATCCAGAAAAACAAGCCAAATGTGCTGATCTTGCTGCACAGACCTTTGATTCCCTCTCACATATCCAGGTCCTCGTTAAAGAAGAGCTTTCCAATAAAATTGATAAATATATGTGTAACCAAATAAAAAACACAACTCTGCCCTCTACGTCAGTTTACAGACCTTCTTTCAGCTCCCTCTGCCTTTCTTCCTTTACCTCTCCTTCTGTACACAGTGTGCCAGTCAACATGTTGAACGTATTCCCTGCACAGCAATCACGTCCCAGTCAACCCTCTCAAATGTTGTGTGTCGACTCCAACAAGAGGGCATTAACCGCTCAATCACAAGTCAACCTAGGTTGTACAGTCCAGCTAAACAAATATATGGTGCAACAGGGTTAAATGTTCACTTATTTATGAAATGTGATCTTTCAAAAGACCTGAGTTTCCCTTCTAATCCCATACCAAATCCTCTACATTCCTAATTTCTCACAGGCAGTGTTGGCCAAACAATTTTGTCAAACATGCGTTTGACTTCCAGTTGTGGGAAGATACACTAACTAAAGGCATCTTTGCTCAGCTGAGTTAAGGCTGCTCTGTGCCTGCTCAAAATTCAGTGTAGAGACGCATCTCTGAGTAGCATTAGGGGTTGAGGTTGGTCTGAGCAGGCATAATTTAGTCTGACTTTTATGTGGCATTGTGTCTTTACATAAAATTTTGAGCAGGCACAGAAGAGCCTTAACTTAGCTGTGTAAAGACACCTTTACTAAAGAGACATCTGTCCCTTTTTCTACAGGTGGACAAACATTAAAACAAACATTAAAGGATTAGTTCACTTCCAGAATAAAAATTTCCTGGTTTCCAGTTAAAAAGTATATACACATTTTAATTTTTTTAAGAAAATGACTGATCGTTTCACTAGATGAGACCCTTATTCCTCGGCTGGGATCATGTAGAGCCCTTTGAAGCTGCAGTGAAACTAAGGCTGTGCAAATAATCAAATGCGATTTTCATGCGCATCTCTTCAGTAAAGCCGGTTCTGTGATTAGTATTAAATCTCCAGCACGTGCTTTCAGATGGAGCGGCATTTACTACACAGAGCCGTAGTTCACTGATAAGTTACTGACGACATGCGCATGAAAATCGCATTCGATTATTTGCACAGCCCTAGCTGAAACTGCAATTTGGACCTTCAGCCCATTGGCCACCACTGAAGTCCATTGTATGGAGAAAAATCCTGGAACGTTTTCCTCAAAAACCATCATTTCTTCTCGATTGAAGAAAGAAAGACATTAACATTTTGGATGATATGGGAGTGAGTAAATTATCAGGAAATTTTTATTCTGGAAATGAACTAATCCTTTAATGGCCAAATGTCATTTTATAGTGCATTGAACATAACTATTCAGTATGTAAATGTAGGTATGCAATTAGATTTTGGAAACAATCAAATTAACAATACATTCTATCCTTAATGCACCCTACTGTGAAGAAACCAAATGGGTTAGCCTAAACCATATAGAAGATTTCTTGTTGCAATCACCCACCAATTTGTATGTTTGCCCACCAATTTATTTGTTTACTCTTTGTTGTCATGACAGGCCATCTGTTTCCAAGCTTGTGTGGTCTTAAGTAATCAACTCCGATGCTAAATTACTGCCAACTGAAAACACATCTTAAAGTAAAGCTAGTACGGCTTTAGATAAATTAATGACTGACACTGGTCAAGTACATAAACACTTTAGTTAAGCGGCTCTTAAGTGCTCATCCATAACCACATTTCTTCGGCCTGAAATGCAAACACACAAACTTCATAAGCCTTCTCCAGTTGAGCAACTACAAAAACACAAGACACAATGTGAAATCAAAGCATAATTCAGATTTATGTAATATATTCTAAACTGGGCTAAAAATCTAATGTAACACGACTGCTAATGTCTTATGTATTTCCAGTAGGCGATACTTTATCGCAACAAAATGTGACTAAGCAGACGGGCTGTTTGGGAATTCATGCATCTAATCCCTTCCCGACCTTCATATAATGATTCATAACAGATATATCTGGTTAATGCCATTGGTAATTACTAATGATACTTGGATTCAATCATTTGACAGCAAACATCTTCACTACACGAATTACATATCAAAAGAAGACGATGTTAAAGTGTGTGATTGTCAGTTTAGCCATGAAAATGTTGATTTGAAAATCTGAGTGATTCCTGGAATGCACAGGAATGAAAAATCAAACTAACTTGTTACTGTAGCTATTTGATGACTACTGCCATCAATCACTTGCTAAACTAGTTTACCAATAATCTGTGCAAAAAAATTTGCTACTTTTCTGCAATGATCCTTGTTGACCGATTTCATTTTTACTCTACTTCTGGTTACATGCGAGTCATAGAGCAATATTAGAATACTACTGGAACTATGACTGGAAAGAACTGTAATCATTTCTAACCCAGATAGCACACGTACATCTTCAAGATGTCTGTTAAAGATCGCTTAATCTGGAAAGCATCTGCTGTGTACAAACATCTGATAGACGTCTCCAAGATGTCAGTTTTACATACATTCGAAATCATAAACATCTTAAAGACATTTTCTAAACGTCTATTTGACATCTGATAGGAAACGTCCTATAGACGTATTGCAGATGAACAAACACAAATAGGCCTACGTCTTGCAGATGTAAATGCTCGGTGATGTGCGTGTGCTATCAAGTTAATAGTTTAATCAAGGGTTTGAGCGTCAGGAGGCATTATTTACATAGCTGGTTCTCTGGTCATTTTCAACTTTCTCTTGCAATTAAGATTTGGTTCTCAGTACGCCATCACAAATTCACAAATGTGTATATCACAAATTCACCAAAATGAACCACATTTCATTTTAAAAAATCAGGTCTAGTATATTATACATCTAAAAATCAGATACATAATTAGCGTAAATTATGAGCTCTGTACATTTTAGGGGCATGTTAAAAAGCAATGTGTTCACAAACAGTCACATTAAGAAAATCACACAGGTACAACGCACATGGCTACACGGTCTATATGAATGCACAAAAGCTCACGCATGCACACATTTGACACTGTTGAACGGAAACTAACAAATTGCATGATGGGAGATAAAAGAATCTGCTTGGAAGATCATATCAAAGGAGAAAAATAGAGAGCATGCCTTTCACTTTCTCACTAGGGCAACTGCTACTGTCGTGTGTCAGGGACTAATTAACTTAGATTCACATAACTGCGCTATGATTAAAAAAAGGCCAATGCCCTTGGCATAACGGTCAAAGCAGGTCTAAATGAGCGTACGCGCACGCCTTTCTTGTAATCTACTTGTTTCTTGTATCTGCAGTAGCAGTCGCGTGGCCAAAATGACTGTGACACCTCAAAACGGAAGGACAGTTCACATTTCGGCAAGAGACATGGCTTTAATAACCCACTCTTGCTTGATTTATATCTCCAGTCACAACCGTATTGTACCACGGCGACAGAACTGCCTTAATGTTTTAATCATTAACTCTTCGTAACTTAACAAACTTTCACCCACTGAAACCAATTTGGCTCTTCAACCACGAGCCCAAAAGAAGAGCTTCTTACTGACAGCTCCGCACTATCGCTCAAGTTATCCCCTCATGACGGAAAATTCAACAGCCTGGCGAAAACCTTCGCCCAGGAGCGTGCGCTCGTTTTCCGCTGAGCGCTCAATGGGTCAGAATTCACTTCAAATGCGAACGGGTCAAACGCGCAGAAATACGGAGCTGCATTCGCTGGACTGGAATGGAGTTGGAAATGTGAGCTGGACCGTCCGTGAGACTTGACAGGCGTGCTGGAGGGGGGGCTGGACTCTCTGCCTGTTGATCCGATAATAAAAAATACAAAAACAGGGTGCAAGAGCGTGGGGGCTTGCGAAACACCGGTGGCAAACGCGCACTGTCTGAACTGAACAGGAACATTTTCGATAAGATCCTATTAGACAAGTTGTGTGTTCTGAGATCTCTAAGAGCAACGTTAACAGCTTTAGCTCAGCGCGAAAAGTCCAGTCCAGTGAAGCCTCAACATGGACATTTGTTTTGTAAACAACTATGCTGTTAAAACAACATTTGACATCGACAAACAACATTTAGGACACACTGAAAGCGCACAGACGCATGAAACATACCTCGGCAGGTCTTCTAAATCCGCTGTCGTTTCGCATAAAAGTACAGCAAAGCTCCAGCAAAGCGCCTACGACCCAGAAAGGCAACCTTTCTGCCCCGTCTATCTCAACCAGCAGTGGGTTACGCAGTTTTTCATGTGCTTCTACCCCTCCTCTCTCTCTCTCTCTCTCTCTCTCT